GAGGAAGAAGTTACCCACCATCGCAGCCTGGACCAGGTGGATGAGTAAGATGAGGAGGAAGGTCATGGCCTCAGCCTGAGCCAGGAGGAGGAGGAAGGAGAGGAGGAAGGAGAGGAGGAGAGGAAGGAAGAGAGGCCTGAGGTTCAAGACCTCAGAGAGGCACCGAGCCAAGACCACCGGGAGGAGGATGAGGAGGAGGAGCTGCAGGAAGACCAGCTCCCCTTCACCATCATCCCCAATCCACTGGCCAGGAAGGAGGTGGCTGAAGGCGGCTCCAGTGAGGAAGATGAAGACACAGGTAAGTGATCTGGCCGGGTGGGGGCAGGGAAGAGCCGAGTCAGTCTGGGTCACTGCTGCCCTCCTGTCCCCACAGGTCCACAGGATGCCCAAGAGTACAGGAACTACCGGCCAGGGTCCCTGTGTGGCTACTGCTCCTTCTGCAATGTACGTCCCAGGCCAGGTCCACTCACCAGGCTGTTCCTGGAATTTGCCCCAGGGCCCTGGGGTGCCTTGGGAGGGCTCTGAGCAAAGGAGGTGCAGGGGAAGTTCCAGGTGAAGAAAGACACTTCTGGGGCTGTGTGCAGGACAGGCCGGAGGCCCGCAGACCAAGGAGGAGGCCGAGGCCTGAGCTGCAGCTGTGGATGCGGGGAAGAAGGTCCTGGACAAAGAGTAGACAGGGGGTGGGGGCGGGCCCGGCAGGCAGGATGGCGAGATACTGAGCTCAGCGCTGAAGGTAAGGAGGGTGAGGAGTTGGGGACAGCGTGGATGACTGGCCGGCGGGTGGCTCGCATTTGGGGTTAGGGTTTCTCTCTAACCAGGCTCCTCCGCTGCCTAGCGATGCACTGAATGTGAGAACTGTCACTGTGATGAGGAGAACATGGGAGAGCACTGTGACCAGTGCCAGGTGAGACATACCCCTGGGCTCAAGGCTCCACCCCAGCTCAGGATGGCCCCGGACCTTCGGCCCCAAACTCTGGCTTCTTCCCTCAAACTGACCCCTTCCCCCTGACGCAACCTTGACTCCACACCCGATCCCGCCCCTGCCCTTAACGTCCGTCCGCCTGACTAGGCTCCCACTCTGACCCTGTCCTTGACCTCTCCTACCACTCACACTTTATCCATCTCCGCCCGCAGCACTGCCAGTTCTGCTACCTCTGCCCTCTGGTCTGCGAAACTGTCTGCACGCCAGGTGAGCGTGCTGGGAGGGCTCAGGAGAAGCCTGACGAAGGGGCGGGGTCCAGCGAGGGGAACCCTGGTGGGCACGGAGCCCAATCTGAGGGGCGGGGCTGGGAGGCTGTGGGGCGGGACTAAGGGTGGAGGCGTGGCCAAGGCCGGGAGGGGCGAGCACGGAGGGGCGGGGCCTGGGCTGAGAGAAGGTTGGGAATAGATGCTGAAGCCTAGGAGGCAAGGATGGGTGCAGGGTTGAGGGGTGGGCCTAGAATAGAGTGGGCGGAGCCAAAGCAAGAAGAATTCGAAGGGCGGGGCTATTGCAGAAATGGGAACACCCAGGGCAGGGAGCAACGAGCGGGAATTTCAAAGGAGTCCCAACGGAAGGAATTTGGTTTTGGGGAAAGAAGGAGGAAAAGGGAGAGGAACTAGCTCTGATCCCAGACTCAGTGAAAAGTGGTCCCCTAATTTCGCCCGTGGAATACCCCTCAACCCTGTTCTCTCTTCTCCGCCACAGGAAGCTACGTCGACTATTTCTCCTCGTCCCTGTACCAGTAAGTGTGTGGAGGGGATAGTTTTAGTGCCGTGCTTAGGGTGGCGCTGTCCCGCTGCGCTATCGGACGACCTTGGGACCCCAGTTCCCCGTCGGTAAAATGCGCAGGTTAACGACCTCTGAGCGCCCTGGGTGAGCTTCGGACATTTCGGTTGTCTAACCTCCGCGTCCTCCTCTCCAGGGCCCTGGCGGACATGCTGGAAACTCCGGAACCCTGACCCGGCCCCGCAGGCCTACCTCCCTAGCCCTCCACCCCCTTTCCACAGGCCCTATTTATTTCTCTAAATAAACGTGCTCCCCGGAACCTCACTGGCTTCTCGGGGCACCGGGGAACGCGGGTGGGGAACTAGGGACTCGGACTTGTGGGTCTGGTGGAGGAGGGGCCTGGAGTCCCCGGTCCTCGTCGGGGTTGGTTTGCTTTCTTAAGGTCCTGACAAATAAATCAGTCAACACGGGAGCTTTTTGAAACAAATTCTCTTTACCCGTGATCACTGAGTGACGCCTGGGGCAGGGAGGCCGACCAAGAGTCGGGGGCAAGGGTTCCCCCACCGTCCTCCCTCCCCCCACGCCACGTCGCCCAGTGGCATCGTGGAAAGAGGCTTCTCCCATGCAAACCCCGGGGCCGGAAGGGAACGGGGAGCGCACTTCTGCGCCCCCTACCCCCGGGGCACGGACACGGCCACAGCACGGGGGGCGGAGGAGCCCCGGGGACACGAGACACTGGGGAGGGCGAGGAGACCCCGCCCACAGCTGGCCCGGGGAATCGGCGACCCGACGCGGCGGGTCGGGGCTGGGTGGCACAGGGGGCGAGGCTTGTAGCAGCGAGTCCCCCCTCCCCTCCTTGCGGACGAAGAAGGAAGACTTGGGCCCCGCGACTGGGAAGGAGAAAGGGGAGGGGGCAGCCTCCCCTCGCATGCGGCCCAGGAGGGAAGCCCCGCCCCCTTCCCGCGGGGAATGGGCACCCATCTCCCACCGGAAACTGGTCAATAAATTACAAAGTAGAGAAAAGGGAGGCGGAAGTTTGGGGCAGGATTTCTTCCTGCCCTCTTCTTTCCCCCTCTCGGTCCACTTCATGTAGTTTGGTCCAGGCCCAGTCCATTTGTGAGGCGGGGACGCGCACTCCCCGTTAGTGGGTACAGATGGTCCAGTCCGCGGCGCGAGCTCCCCCGCCCGCGCTCCCCGGCGAGACCACACTCTGGGCGGGAAGGGGGACAGCCCAGCCTCTGAAAGATTCTTCCATCCGAGCGAGGTCACCTGCATTGAGGCCGGGCAGTACGTGGAGCAGTGAAGATCCATCGTGCCGCCCCGAACCCCCAAGATCGCCCGGTACGGTCCTCACCTGGAGGCCTGCACTAGCAGGAATAGGTCCGGACCGAAACGCCGTCTGCGCGGGAACTCCCAGAAGTCTGGCCTGAAGGGAGAGCGAGCA